AGAGAGGTTGAATAAGGGGCATAAATAAATAAAAAAGAAACAAACTTCAGAGAATACGCTAAACGTTCACATCGGGGTTAAATACTAATGATAAGGATAATTAAATTATTTATTAGTTAAAGACACACTTGAGGATATAAACATAATCAAAAATTTCATGTTATTGTCACCATTAGCATCCAAGATATCATTACGATAAGGCAATTGTGATGATTTATATGACAATATTGAAAAAAATCGAGCATCGCGCTGTGATAAAACTCCTTACAAAACAAAGGACGACTCAAAAAATTATTTACGAAGAAATTGCGGCTGTTTACAAAGATTCTGCTCCGTCATTATCTAATATTCAGAACTGGTCTATTGAATTCAAACGAAGTAGAGAGTATTGAAGACGACCCCCGTGCCGGTGGGCCGGTTAATGCCACTGCTGAAGAAACTTCTTGCCCGTGTAAGAGTGAAATGTTAATAGTAACTTAAGCCATCAGTGGTTACCATTCAAATTATCCTTCATAAGACTCTGAATCTGTCAAAGGTCAGTGTAAGATGGCTGCCGCGAATGCTCATGGCGCTTCAGGAAAAAGCGTGAGTTGAGTGTTGCAAGGAGTTTTTGGAACTCTTTGGTCTATGGTGAAAATCTGCATAGTGTATTCGACCGAATCGTTGAAATTGATGAATAGTTTTCAGACAAGGTATGTATATGGTATATATATTATAAGAGGGTATTGAAAAGTTACTTTCCCGCTCAAAAATCTCCCATCGCCTCAATACACTTAATTGAGGTGATGCTAGACTACCATTGAAAAATAAATTTTATTTAGAACTTTCTGCTTGATAGAAAACAAAACTAACATATAATAAAGATACATACAAATACAATTATATGTCCATAAATACATAAATACTTTTCAAGAGTGGACTGATCCTTCCAATCTTTCAATAAGTGCAGCTCTTAAATGCGAAGCGACTTTTGGCAGAAAGACTATTTTGAGAGGTAGCGTATTGCACACAAGAATAGAGTTGATGTAGAAAGAAGTAAACGATTATGGATCAAGCAGATCATTAATGTTTATGGTATAAATATAAATAATGGCTGAAGTTGTGAACGATACAAAGAGATGGGTGTTCATACAATGATTGGAAACGAATCTAATGCAGTTATTAGAAATCAATAGATCTTCAAATGCTAAATAACAATGTAGAAAGAAGGCGTTAAGATTTTCGTCGCTGTGGCTATCAGCCTTTTACCTCAGTGCATAGAGCGTCAGGCCGCGAATGCCGACGACAATCTTTTCGTACTTTTTCTACATGTTTTAATGTTCAATAGACCTTATTGAGATATTTTCTAGACGATCTGTCTGTAGGGAACTTTTTTCCTATCAAGAAATTGTCTAAATTATAGTACAAGACACTAACAAAAGATGTCCAAAAGTGTTGGTAGCGTTGTGTGTCGGAGACATTCCAATTGCAGCTCGTCTAATTTACCGACTTCTGCCATGGAGTGTGAGTTGTAGGGTTCTGATGCAGCAGTGGGCTAGAGCAATTAACCAGTTTCGCCATTTGAATAGCGAGCTTTTCTATCATGATTTGCAATTTTTAACCGACTTCAAAAAAGGAGGAGGTTTCTCAATTCGACCGTATATATATATATATATATATATTTTATTTGATGCTTATGAACCGATTTTGATGATTCTTTTTTTGTCGGAAAGGAGATATCCCAAGGGTGGTACCGTGATAAGAAAACCCGGATTTGTTGATGGCATCCCAGAGAAATCGAGAGCCATCATTGAATGTTATAGTTATTAACAATTTTTTAATTTTCGCATTAACGTCGGTTTTTTTTGTTATATAATTCAGATTTTAATCGACAATACAGAAATGCCGTAATTGTCTGGCAAGATCTTAAGAAGCTGTAGTGTATGTATGATACCAACACTGGTCTACCAAAATCTCCAGTACCTGAGTAATTTTTCGCTTGATTTAGCCGGTCCTCCTCGGTACAGCCACTGTGATGAGCGTAATCGATTATGGTACATGTTCCAAAAGTAACAGTACTATTAAAGTTTTCGGGGTTGGATAATATAAAAGAGCAATCAATTTAAGCGGTACCTGTTTTCTAGTGAATTATCATTTTCACTTTTCCGAGTGAATTAAAATTGATTTATCACACGAAATCTCCCGCTAACTCTAATATGGTTTGCGGAGGTTCTACTTCCACGATCACCTTTAATTCTTCGTTCTACCATTAGACGCTAGTGACTAGCGTCTCTCGTCGTCTAACGGTGTTTTGCCACTACAGACAATTATTAGGAAAGTAGATTATTATAGTTAAGGTTTTTATAAAAGAACTAGCTGCTGGCCCCGACTACGTCTGCGTAGAGGGGTGAAAATTTAGGGTTGTATGTATTTCTGTATCATAAAAAAAAAATTTAGGGGTGGACCACCCTTAACATTTAGGGGAATGAAAAATAGATGTCCTATTCTCCGCCCTGGCCGATATGCACGCAAAATTACACGAAAATAGGTCGAGAGTATTTGTAAATTTCAAATATAATTTTATGATAATGCATAATTTCAAATATAATTTGTTGAAAACTTTTATAACTGAAGGATATCGAAGTAAAAACAGTAATTCTTCAAAATAAGAAACTTTTCATTGATAAATATTTATTTTCACATAATTATGTAACAGTTCATTCACTGATAACATTTTTTGTCGTATATTTTGAGACAGTTATTAAGTTACCTTTTTTAACATTGGCCCATAATAACGATAATATTATCCTGTGTTGTAACGTTTTACAAACATAAATTTGACAAAATGTACAAACATCTAGATCCGAAACGATTATCTGGGGGTCACACAAATAGTTATACCGCCTGGGAATCTATCCCCAGCGCCGAAGTCAATACTTTGACAAGTGCTCCACGGAGCCGTATTCGTTACTTTAATGTTTAAAGCATATTATTTCTATTTTTTGTTATTATTTTGTTTCATGTACGTTTTATTTTTATAAGATGAAGACAAGTTAAGTATGTGAAAAATAAAAACACTGAATTTTTTTTTTGCGAAAAGTTGCCAAACGAGCAGACGGTTCACCCGATGGTATGTGAATACCGCCGCCCATGGACATCTGCCAAACCCGAGGGTTACAGACGCGTTGACAACCTTTTGAAAATTGGGCTCCGAATTATCAAAGTTGTTTAAATTGCCACACTGTTTTGGGCCTGTGTGGTAATTAGGAATCTCTAAAGTTAGAAAAATCGTAACCTAATTTATCATTTCATGGATGACATCCATGTTTCAATACTTTAGTGATTTCAGGCAAAATAGTATTTTTCAGGGCAGCGTTTCAAGCACGATAAAATTTAGATATCTTTTTCTTTGTCAATATGAAATCTTTTTATCATTTCAACATTATTCGTGGAATATTGTTTATGTAGGATAGGGCGAGGGATGAAATGAAACATCGCAATAATATTTTGAAAATGTTTTTTTTATTAACACTTACATTTTTACAGCGCTCCTAGCCAACAAAGTAATACTATAAACTGAATCGGTGTAAAGAACTGTCGAACGCAAAACAATGTTAGTCCTACAGTGTAGTTCAAACAAACAGCTCACAAGATCCCATCGTCACAGTAATAATATCATGATCAACGACTATTGTCAATGAGATGGACGAGGTAACATCATCAAACAAGCACAGGAGGTCACCCTAAAGAAACAAACATCATTTAACTCTATAAACATTTCATATAATTTAGATCTTATTATTCGCTATAATGTTATATTTTACTTTTGTAACTTTTATTATAATGTTATATGTATTCGTTACGAAAAAATTTGAGATTCCTCATCCCGCCGGGCTCCCCCCGCTTCCCCCTCCCTAGACTCGACGCCCCAACGCCGGATCACTACCGGGAGAGCCCGCGCGCGATAAAAACAAGATGACTCTATCATAACTGTATAATTTTAAAAATCTCTAATTACGCATCCCTACGATTTTTTTTGTTTATTATCATTTAATTAAGAAATAAAATCTTACGTAGTTACCATGAGCAGCCTATTTTTATAAGTTTCGACAAAATCTAGTAATGTGATTATCTTTAGAAAAGGAAAAGCGTCGCGCGATGACGCGATTAGAGGCGACGACAGTCGACGGCAGTGCTGGTGAATGTTCGGGCGGGGGCCCGAAGCGTCGCGACGTGTAATGCTTTTAATTTTTAACTACGTTTACAATTGAAAAATACGGCGTCAAAATTCCAACTACCTACCTAACAGTAAGCGGTAGTACACTAAGAACCAGGCACTCCACATCGACCTCTCACACGCCACGCACCCGACCGAATCGACAACTGAATATTATCCACTCGAGAAATTCAACTTAATCTAATTTCCTTCCATTTAAATAATAATAATGGCTTCTTAACTGTAATATTACAACAAATGCTTCGTTGGCCGCCTAGCACGGGCCGCGGCGGGCGTCAAACTCCTGCCCACGCGTGTGGCGTACGATGATCTACAGGCTAAACGATATTTTTTATTACTTATCATATAAGTATGTGAAAAAACAATTTCATCAGTTATTATAATGCTATCTTATGACGCTAGTGAGGGGCGAACGGAACGCAAAAGGAGTGGGTCGCTCGCCGCGCGCGTCCCACGGCGGCGTCGACGCGAGATTCATCACACAAACTGAAGGTTGACCCGACACGTGAACAACACGAACCGCGATCCAATTAAAAAAAAATTATACGTGTACACGAACAAGTTACATCACAAATAACAAACTCCCCGATGTGCTTATATACATATAGTTTCGTGGAACAAACAACGCGTTGGGATGGCGGCGGTTAGAAGCGGTGAGACAAGCGGCGTACGCGGCAGCGATTACACGTGTGGCGGGCACCGCGCCCTCTGTCAGTCTGTTGCGGGAACACAAATGAACGTTGTACGCAGCGAACGGTGTGGACAGTGGCCGTGTGGGTGCTTAGTAGTAGGTCTCCTGCTCGAGCCAGCCGCCGGGGTTGCGGCGCAGGTAGAAGCGCCGGATCTCGTCGTAGATGAAGATCGACAGCATGAACGGGATGGCGGGCAGCCACCACACGAACCTGCCGACGGACGGGACATGCGATAGAGGGACGGGTCTCACATGGCGAACGGACGAGTTGTCATCGGATCGCACTCTGGTGTCGGAGCAAGACCGAAATGTAGCATTAAATGATTAATTCATATCACGGGACGGACTAAAGCGTTACGAGGTCTGAATGACTGAATAGTTAGTTTTCGAAATTATTAAATTTGTGCCCATAATAAAATACGTTAAATAGTAAGTAGTAGTACTATACAAAAAAACTTTAAGTAAAACCCTACTGCTTACTATCAATAGATCTTTTAGGTCGCAGTGGTCGTTGATATTTACTACCCAACGTCTGAGACACAGGCACAGTTACTAAACTATTGCCTTCGGTGCCGGGAGTTACGGTACACGAGACACAATAATTTGTGAGACCCACAGATAATTGTTCTAGATCTGGGTGTTTATTCCCAAGTGGTTGATGTCAGTCCTCTCTTTCAGACAGCATGCTTCACATATTGCGACGACCCAACAAGTGAGAGCGAAAAGGAGGTGTTCCAGATCTGTGTGTTTATCCCAAGGGGTTGATGTCAGTCTTCTCTTTCAGACAACACGCTTCACACGATACGGCGACCCCACAAGTGTGAGAGAGAAGCAAGATTTTCGTCACTCGGGCCAACTCACTTGAGGGGATACATCCGCAGACCCTTGTCCATGCCGGGGGTGTAGGACAGGAAGGCGGCGAGCGCGGTCTCGAACACGAGGCCGAAATTCAAGGCCCAGTTGCGCATGCCCTGGTGGACGATCGAGTTGCGGCGCGTCTTGCAGATGATCAGGTCAGCCCACTGCACCACGACGATGGACACGAAGAAGGCGGTGTGGCAGGTGAACTCCAGGGCCTTGCGGTCGCGGTACGTCTGCCGGTGGATTGGTCACGTTAGCAAAGAGTTAGTTAAGCAACAGGCTATATAAATGTTCCACTGCTGAGCAAAGACCTCCTCTGTACAGAGGGTATTAGGGCATAGTCCGCCACGCGGCCCCACTGTGGATTAGCGGATTTCACACATACTCCATTTTTTTTGGTTATTATGCAGGTATCCTCACGATGTTCTCCTTCACCGCTGACCCCTAATAAGTCAGCACTTAAAGATAACAATTCAATTGGTGCCGGTACCCGGGATCGAAGTCAGGTTGCTCGAGTATATTTAATTAAAAGCGGGCGCCCGAACAGTGAAATATCACGGGCTCTAAAAAACAAAGAGTTATAATATGCTTAAAAGAACATAAGACCATTTTAAATATATCAAGGTTCAGAGTGAACATAAGAGCTTCAGTGGCTAGTGTCAATGATTCATCCTTTGCATTATTTATGAAGTACACCGTCAGCAATATTTCAGAAAACACCACCACAATGAACCTTCTCTTCGCACGCTGGCTTCGAAAGTCCAAGTTTCTCAGTACACACCCATTCCTGTCCGTAGGAGTCGGTCAGGTCGTTGATGGCCTTCGAGTCCCACTGTTTCCTGATGCCGAAGAGCTTCATGGGCAGGAATCCGTTCTCGGCCATTATCACGAAGTACACGAAGAAACCGGCCGCCGCCTGGATCATTCCGATCTGGCCGTACGCCATCGAGATCAGCCTGCCAACACCCGGGCAACGTATCAGGCGGTGGACTACAAGGCCGATAGCATCTATCGACAAATCGTCGTTGTAGATTACCACGATTTGTCGAACTAAGAAATCGGTCATCATCGATTACTGCGATTTGTCGAACTAAGTTCGGTAAACGGACGATATGTATCCCAATCTTTAGTTTTTCCAGTGAGGCGTTTACCGTCGATATTGATATAAATTTATTACTGCGTTCAATTAATAGCTTTGTTACGATTGACCGTTAATCGGAATAAGATCTCCGGAATCAGACATTTGTTATGCTTTAAAATTTAGAAAACTATAGATTGGGATATAATATAAAGCATGTTTCTTAAGCAGGGGCCAAATATTTTTATTTGAATAGTTTTTTTGATAAATTTCAGGAATAATTAATTCTCTTTCAAATTTTGTCAGAAAGATTAACCCATTTATCAGAAATATTGTTTTATCATCTCATAAATAATGTTATTAAAGCATGTAAAAATTATGAAAAAACTAATTTTTTTTCTTTAATTGATATAAAATATCTATTTATATCTATATAAAACTTGAAAGAACGAAAAGATTGTCGCCGCTGTGGGAATCGAACCCACGTCTTCGGCATTCGCGGCCTGAAGCTTTAGCCACTAAGCTAAACGGCTGATTGCCACACCAAAAAAATATACTAGTAAATAATAAATTTATTAATTGCCTTTATTATTTTAGACTGTTTGATGTATATATTTTTAATGTTTATGCCCAAATGGCAGCTCTTTTTATAAGAAACATCGACTTAGAATGCGAAGTATTAAATACCGTTTACCTTCGTGGGGAACATTAATTTAAACGGATTGTTAACTAAAAATAATACAAGTATTAGAAAACTTAAGCGTCCCAGTCTGAAATACATCGTTAGTGTCGTGTTTGATCACAACGTTTATTCGTTTAAATATATTTAGCACTATTAACAACATATAGAATATGCATTATAAAAAACAGGACTCTGAAGATGTTTCAGACTTACGGAAAATGGAGATATACTTACAAGTTCACACCACATGCAAGAAATAACTTCGAAAGCGAGAGCTAATAACGGTGGAAAGCCAAAATTCAGTTAGTGGACCCAATAGAAGAGAGCAAAGCGAACTAATTCAGTGTTGCGTGTGGGACTTTGGAAGCTCCGGTGGGTTCCACAGCGTGCTTAAACATACATACTTATATATAAGAACCTAAAACATATAAAGATGTTACGTTTTAAACTTTTTTATAATACATATAATATTTCATTACTTATATATCATATTAATATAGAACTAATAAATATAACACGCTCTGTGTAACCTAAATCATTCCTCAAAAATCACTATTATAATTCTAAGTGTTCTACGTTTCTAGTTAAATAATTCTCTAGTACTCTAGTACGTCTAAAACAGTTCACTATGCATTTATCTAACGTGCATTTTCTCCGAAATTGCATTTCGTATATCATCTAGTATCGAAATATGGAAGAGTGAAGATTGTGAGGAAGTAGATAGAGTGGCTAATTCCGCTAAAACTACGTCAAAAATTCCTATAAAGGTTAACCAAAGAGTATTGCTGAGGTCTCCTTGTAGCTAAGTGGTTAGCGGTGTTAGGTATGTCCCAGTGTTGTTTGTTCAGGAACTAATTGCTTAGTGCTTCACGCGGGGGATTATTATTTCCTTATCACTCTTCCACATCTTATTTCCAGCAGTTGACACATTGCCTCATCGTACAAAATGCATTTTTTTTTTTGTTTCATGACTTACTATTGCCAATTTTAATGAAGGAACATCATTAACTGACCATACATTTAGCTTTTTTAAAACAATTTTACACTAACGATAAAATTAAATAAATTAGTATGTTTTATCGTTACTTTGCAAAAATGTAATCAACTTTTTATGAACCGTCTTTTATTTAACTAAATAGTATAACAGTTACATTTACTTTATTTTTTTAAATTTTATTGTCTGCTTTATCTAAGAAATATTATTTCATTAATTTATAGTAGAAAATTAACCCATCCAAAATATTCCGATCAGCCTTTTCACCAGTATCTTAACATATAAATATTTTGATTAGAACCTTTACAATGATCAGTCAATGAAGTAAACCCAAGTACTATCTGTTCGAAACATCTATGCGGTAAAAAACTTTTAACACATCTTGTCCTTGTACTTAGAATTCCCGAGATTCTTTTTTTTTTTTTTAATTGAATTAAAACGCGCCATAGAGTTTCCGAGCAGATCGTTCGAAATTTGAATGTGGGGCTATTGATTGCGTTAACACCCATGACAGTATCTAGGAAGCGTCGGCCCGTTGCGGGCGCGACTACGTGGCGGTGCGGGCCAACCTTCTGTTGACGAGATTGTCGCGGTAAGGGTCTCGCGGCTGCCGCTTCATGATATCGGACTCGGGTGCTTCGTACGCCAAAGATATAGCAGGCACCTTTGGTAACACCAAGCAATCAGCACAAGTCACAGGGCGGCACTCAAACCACGCAACACATAACCCTTATAACGGACAAATACACACCCCTCGGCTACGACGCTCCAACCATTGAATACTCTACAACTAACGCTGTTTAGAAAAGTATACATTAACAACAGACACTAGTCTCGTTTACTTATATTACGAACGCGGTGATCTAAATTAAAGAGTACAGAAAATATTTAGCGTGTCACAATAATCGAAGAGATAACAGGTTATTTAATAATAATAATAGGATAATACAGGTCGAAGTACTAAGCTGGTGATAAAATTACTAATAAGCCCTAGATATATTTAATTAAATATTAATAGGTAATATATAAGTGTTCATGTACCTATATATCAAATATCATAAAACAGGCCTAGCCGTGATAAATATTGAATAAGATACATGGAGTGATTGTGGGGTGTATACGTAAATAACGAAATAGCGTTATTTGTGTCAGATATATCGTGTAATATGATGTGCGTGGGAATTATGAGAGGTAGAAAAACAAGAATAAAAGTCGATAAAATATAATAAGTTAAAAAAAATATCGTAGCTAGGAGATGTCAAGATGTGAAGGAAGAGGCATGCACCAGAGACAAGACTGCAGAGACTGTTAGACATCGATCACTTACCTTACGAAGGACCACACACACATACAAACACCAAAGACAAACGAGATACAAAAAGTAACACAGAAATGGAACAATGTGTTTATTAGTCAATGGGGCGGGTCTGTCGCCTAGACGGAACGCGAAACACATTATTCCATAGCGACAACGAACTACGTAGGTTAAAAGGAAAAAGAGGGGGGTTTGTTATTACAGAGAAATACAAGAGAACGCAAGGCAGAAGTTGGGATTCGGTGCGATTGTCGCCTTCAGTGCTCCGCACGAGGGGATGGGGCCCACATACCGCAGGCAACAACCAGACCTCAACTGAAGACTAATGTACACGTGGTATTTAGCAAGCAAGTAGCGGATAGAAATAATATCTTTGAACGAGTGACGTGCCACTCGCGGTGTTTTACCTCTCGTTAACGAGTTTATCTGTGAAAGGATTACGCGGCTGTCGCTTCATAATGTCAGATTCGGCCTCCTCGTAAGCCAGGGAAATGGCGGGCACCTACACAAACACTAGCTATGAGAGCGAACGGCGGGCGGCGCGCGCGCACGCGAACGTTCGCGCCCGCATTACAAAGCGCAGTGCACATTGTCAACATGTGTACAAACAACATCGAACACTCAGCGGGCCATTTGCAACCATACACCGCCATACAGCGACCCCTACCGTCGGTGTCCAAGTCGACAGTGACTTAAGGATGTCGAAAAAATATCGATATATCGATGATTTGAATCGAAATTCGAATCCGGCAGAGTCCGTAGGTACCTTTTTTAACATCGGGGCCTAAAAAGAAAATATCGATATATCGATGTATTCTCTTCGATATAACGAGGCCGCAAATGATATCTTTTATAAATATCGATATGTCGATATATTTCTTCACTTTCGTCATCACTACAGTGAATAAAAACGACACGCGTACGCGCGGCGTATGTTTGCACCGGCCCGGCTCAATTATTATCCACAAAAATAAAAAATAAAAAACGAACACATAAAAAATGTAAACCATGAAATGACATTGTCCGTTGCAAGTACTGAAATCGTTCAAAACCAAAACGAGTGTCGGATGATCGGCGGAATAAAACTCGATTGGGGTATGGAGAAATTTTGAAAAAGAAAAAATGCACGCGTCTGAATGATGATGGGGGTGGTATGATCGTGACTCGGGTGTGTTGTGTCTGTCGTCAAGTTCAATTAATTGGCTCACGTTAGACTGTTTAGAGCATATCACGTATGTCCATGGACTAGATGCAGGTGTAGACTTAACTTCGTCAGCAAACTCTTAATCGGAGCAAGGCTAACTCGGTTTACAGCCGTCATGAATATCGATCACGATATTTGCCCTAAGCAGAGGTCAAATTAACGCAAAACGAGCCTCATGTCAAACCATTTAGCACTTGCATGATGTTAATTAGTATGTTACAAACAAAACTAGATCATAGCTGATCGCACGTAGGATTCCACGCAAAACATTTTTTATGTTGTTAAACCATTAATTCCGTACAATCATAATTAATTATTGAATAATTTTGTAATTACAGTTAGTGATGAGAAATATTTTTTTAGAAAATTATAAAATTACGTTTGTACAGATTAAAATAAAATTAGACATCAACGCGACACAATATCGATACAACATCGATGTTATTACAGCTGAAAAAAATAACAGTTATTTGTTATTATTAATGCCATTTAGTATCACAACACACTATAGAGACCTCTCGTTGACAAGTTTGTCGCAAAATGGATTCCTAGGGGGTCGTTTCATAATGTCTGCCTCCGCTGTCTCGTACGCGAGCGCTATCGCTGGCACCTAATGTCAAACTTAGTTACTCATCCGGCCCATGTTCACTTCTTTTATCATCTATATCATAATACATTTAATTCAAATATCACAATGTAAGCTCTATAGGGTATTTGGACCAACCATAGATCGCTGTAAGACTTACGGAAAATACTTCTTACTGGTTAATGAATGATGCCTTTTCATTAACCAAAAAGATTCTATATGCGCAGGCGACGATATACGACCATGAATAATAAGAGACTACCTATTTCAAAACAGGTATCATTTTGTAATACATTAAGTGATATTTTACGAAAATCTTGTGCAAGATAACATTGCAGAAAATAATCCGCAAATGTATGAGAAAAACCGTGAATTTAAACGGTAAAGGAAAATAGAGAATCATTTAAATACGTTACCGACGCATATAAAATATGATAAAAGACCTGTTGTTGCAGATTACAACTACATTTTATTGTTCATTTATTATTCATATGTCCATTTTATGTAAAATTATCTTTTACTATTTCTATAACATATATAGTATGACTGATTTTTCTTTATCAAATGTGACAAGACAAATAATACCCAGTTAAATAAATGACATGATTTACGGGCGACTATGTTCGTTTCATAAAGATAACAATAATTTCTCTGACGTGTTATAATCGTAAATCCATCCAGTAAGTGTGACGTACTGATCACATACAACTTGACATTTAAAATAGGACTCTTAGCGCTAAGATTTAAAGTCGAACTTACCATGTCGGTTCCAAGGTCGATGCAGAGGATGGTAACGGTGCCGAGAGGCAAGGGAATGTCGCAGAGGATGAACGCGAGGAAGGGCGAGATTTCGGGAATGTTCGAGGTCAGGGTGTAGGCGATGGACTTCTTGAGGTTGTCGAAGATCAATCGGCCCTCCTCCACGCCAGTCACGATGGAGGCGAAGTTGTCGTCGAGTAGGATCATGTCGGCAGCCTACGAAACACTTGACGGTAACTATGTCGTCTGCTATATTTTAAAATTAATCACAATTCTTTGATAATATTTTTTTTAGAAATGTATTTATAGAGTAGTATTAAATAATTACTTTGACAGAAATTTAACTATAAAAGTATTTATTAGTGCAGATTTCCATACTTATTGTCTCATAATGTATTCAGTAAGATCCGTAAGTATGAATAAAATATGTATTTTTATTCGTCTCTAAGTATTTATGCACTAGGATCAAATAAATAAAAAAAATGCTGTAAGTGCTAGTAGCGGTCATTATTCCATAGCAACCAATAACAACTTTTGGACATTTACCTATAAATTCCAAGTTATTTAATTAATTCTTTATATTTTCAAACAAAGAGTACCGGCATACGGCATACAATTTTTATTTTATTTTATTATTATTATTCATTATAAGTATTAAAAATAAGAATAATAAATTCTTATTTTTCGAGCATACATAAGTAACACACACGTTTTTTTTTTCAATCGTAATAAAACAAAAGGATTCCTATAGTCATAACTACCCGCTGACCTGTTTCGACACGTCGGAGCCGGCGATGCCCATGGCAACACCGATGTCAGCCTTCTTCAGGGCGGGGGAGTCGTTGACACCATCGCCAGTGACCGCCACAATGGCGCCCAGACGCTGGCAACCCTCAACGATGATCAGCTTCTGCTGAGGCGAGGTGCGCGCAAACACAATCTCCGTGTGGAACCTGGCGAGGGTGTCTCCATTAGTTATGTTTTCAGATTTACGTTACAAGTAAGTTACCTCATTACCGTAAATGAACCCGTTTATTAAGAGAATCATTCTAAAAATCGACAATGTGAAGATACAAATAATTTTTCTAATATTATTATGACTTTGATCTTTTTTTTTATTTATATCACTATCTGTAGCGTTCTCTTTGATGCTACTATGATATAAATATATTTTTTTTACTGCTCGAAGTTTTTTTTTTTGAAGATTTCACGAGTTTGCCCTTTTCTTTGATCACTATGTCTATAAAGAATGTTACAATGAAACTCTGTTGGTTGGCAACACCTGCAAATGCTCACTTACTATCATGTGACTCCGATCGTCCTCCAACTTTTAACTACCTAATACTTAATAACAAAACAAGACGCTCACTTGAGGACCTCTTCGAGTTAATCAACTTTGATCGCTGCGTCTATAAAGAAAGAGACATCCAAAAGGTGGAATGTTGGTAACATCTGCAAAGCCTCACTTGCTATCAGGTGACCTGGTCGGTCGTCGTTCAACCTCTAACTGTGCCAATTACTAATAACAAAAGATGACGCTCACTTGAGAACCTCATCGAGTTTATCATTTTTGACTGCATCTATGCAGAACCTGAACCAAACTGTGGAATGTTGGCAACACCTGCAAAGCCTCACTTGCTGATAGCAAGCCGACCCGGTCTAACTGAAAAGTTCATAATAACATAAAATACGCTCACTTGAGGATCTCGTCGAGCTGATCGGAGTTCAGCTCCCTCAGCTCGGTTCCGTGGACGACGGCGGCCTTGGCTTCGCGCGGGTTCACTTCCGAAACGGGGATGTTGAGGCGGGCGGCGATGTCCTCGACGGTCTCGTTGCCCTCGGAGATGATGCCTACCGACTTGGCGATGGCCTTGGCGGTGATGGGGTGGTCACCTGTCACCATGATCACCTGGTGGCGGGAGCAATGGCTATAATATTTAGTTTCATACTAGTTACGACTATAATATTTAATATAAGTTTTATTTCGTTACCTAAAAAAAGTATTCATTTTTTAACTGTTGACCAAAAAAATACCATTCGGATTCAATGAGAGCACTAGTCGATGTCGAACATTTGTGATTGAACTAACCAGCTTACCGGTTTGGGTCTCTACGAGACACCGCGAGTTAGGATTATGTACTTTAAGGCTATGCGCATAAGATTTATATCCGCCCACCTTGATACCGGCGGAGCGGCACTTAGCGACGGCGTCGGGCACGGCAGCGCGGGGCGGGTCGATCATGCTCATCAGGCCGACGAAGCGGAGGTTGTCCAGGGGGAAGTTGGGGTCGTCGGTGTTGAATTTGTAGCCGATCGGGTACTTGTCGGAGGGCAGCTGAAGGTCGCAGAAGCCGAGCACTCGCTCGCCGAGCCCGCCCAGCTCCAGGTAAGCGTTGTTGAACGCCTCCTTCATCTCCTCGTCCAGGACCTATACGATTGATGAAACAACACCGGCGGATTAATAGCGCTGGTCTTCAAAATGAGTCCAAATTATAATCAAGTGTATCAAGTAACACTACCTTGAAATAAGCCCGAATTTTAATACAGAAATTTTATATTTCCGCTTTCGACTTTGACAAGTAATGATTTACAAAGTCATTATTATATTTTCATATAACTATTACTTTATTATAATTTAAATTATATAGTTAATTTAAAGTATATATGTATATCACTGATACGCTATAATTCATTGAAGCTTATAATTCGAGGAAACGCTTTCAGGTGTAAAGGAGCGACTCGTACCTTCTCCTTGCCGCCAATGAAGATAGTGCTGCAGCGTTCAAGGATCCTCTCGGGTGCGCCCTTCATCACGAGGAGGTGGCGCGGGTCGCTGGGGTCGTCGCTCTCGTGGATGGACACCTGGTACTTGTTGGTCGAGTTGAAGGGGATCTCGCACACTTTCTTGTTGCGCTTCCTGATCGACATGACGTCACCGAGGGCCAGTTCCATGCATTTGAGGAGGGCGGCTTCGGAAGCGTCGCCGGCGACCTCCTTCTTCAGGATCGGCACTCCGTCCTGGCCGCCCTTGAAACTCGGCGCGGTTGCAGAGGGTCGCGATCTTGGCGAGAGCCTTGAATCCGGGGCTAGTGCGGTCTGCGGGGGAAATTAAAGATAAGTAATCCTCGACTGACTTCATAAAGCAGTTTTTTTGCTAAGCTTTTTAGACATCACTATCTGGCCTACTATAACGTATACTAAATTACAATCCATGATTACAGTCGATAGTTGATCCTTGAAAGTTTAGGTTAATTCAACGAAAGAACAGTTTGCTGTGATGATTGGTAATTAAAGTTCTCGTTTATCTACCCGTTTGTTAGACTGTTATAGACACCGTTGAGAATATTAACATATTGATAATATATAGATTAGACTAGAATAGACTACCATATTGAACTCCAGACTGGTCCTCAGTAGTGTCGGCCTCGATGATCTGGTTGTCGAACCACATGTGGGCGACTGTCATCCTGTTCTGGGTCAGGGTACCGGTCTTGTCCGAGCAGATGGTAGAGGTGGATCCGAGGGTCTCCACGGCTTCCAAGTTCTTCACCAGGCAGTTCTTTGAGGCCATCCTCTTAGCCGTCAGCGTCAAACACACAGTTACAGTGGCGAGCAGACCTTCAGGTACGTTGGCTACGATGATGCCTATAAGAACATAATGTTTAAGAGTTTTTGTTTACCGATAGAACACTAAATTCGAATCGAAATGCAATGTCCACATAGTGTTATTGTAGTTTCACAATTACTGTAATATTGGACTTGTATATGAAAATTGAATCAAATAAAGGTAGGTGCGGCTAAAATCCTCTTTAATTATAAGAACAGTCAGTCCGAACAGTCTGAACGTATTTCAACAGTCATTACCAATGGAGGTTAAAGGAGATAATACAAGACAGAGGAAACAGAGAGACCTCAGTAGGGGGACGGACAAGGTTAAAAACAACAATTACCAATAAGGAAAATGACAGCGTCGAGCCAGTGGTAGCCGAGAATGAAGGCGATGACGAAGAAGGTAACTCCGAGGAACACGGCGACACCGGTGATCAAGTGGATGAAGTGGTGGATTTCCTTGGCGATAGGGGTCTCTCCAGTGTCCAGACCGGAAGCCAGGCCGGCGATACGTCCCATGACCTGTAGAAAAAGTCCTTGCTCATAATCATCAGGAACCAAATGTTATTTAATGAATAAAAGTAAAATAATCAGAACTGTTCACGATGAATTGATATTTTTTTAGTCTTTTTGTGAATACCTACTTAAATAAGTCAGATTAAAATAATGGACAGAATAATCTGTGGCTTTATATCGTGGTACCGACCGTGTTGTCACCGCAGCAGATGACGATACCCTTGGCGGTGCCCTCGACAGCGTTGGTGGAGAAGAAGGCCAGGTTCTTGGTTTCCAGTGGGTTCTCGTTGGTGAACTCGGGGCCGCGGGACTGGGGTTCCGATTCGCCGGTCAAACTCGAGTTGTCAACTTTGAAACCGCGGGACTCAATGATACGGATATCGGCCGGGATTCGATCACCGAATTTCACCTAAGGTATGGAATTATGTTTTAATACATGACACAGTATAATATCTTAAGAATCACATATTTGTTTATTCATTAGTTTAAATTAATTTGATTATTGCCAGTTGCAGCATCAATTCACAAAATCGATTTGAATTCGGATGAAAATTACATTGCCTTCTTGTTAATGCTATTGTTTTAAATTATTCGAGTTTCTCACCTCAACAATGTCACCAAGTACCAGGTCCTCGGCGCGGAGGGTAAGCTTTTCACCTTCGCGGATGACGGTAGCGAATTGGGGCACCATGTTCTTGAACGATTCCATGATCTTGGAGGACTTGCTTTCCTGATAGTAAGAGAAGATGCCCGTAACAATTACCACAGCCGCCAGTACAATGCCAAGGTACAAGTTGTCGTCCGCAGGTTCCTCAACGGTACTCGCCTAAAACAAACGAAGTCGACGTAATTGAAGAAGAATTCTTGCATTGATTGTAACTTTAGCTAAAGTCCATATGATATCAATCACCACACCTGAATTCCGTATGCGATAAAGCACAGAATAGCACCAATCCACAGAAGTAACGCGAAACCGCCGAATAGATTTTTACAAAACTTCACCCACTCGGGAGTTTGTTTTGGCGGGGTGAGGGCATTGGGGCCGTCTCTCTCCAGATTCTCCTTTGCTTTCGCATGACTAAGGCCCTAAAAACAAATACACACAATTAAATGATAACTTAGTAAGAAAACACGATAAAAAATTGAATGTCTCTACGATTGCTTTCTTAAAATTAAAGGGGCAGTAAACATATCGAGATCAATTAAATAACTCGATCGGATATCTGGAGCTGCTAGCTTAAAGTCAAATACTATGTGCCAAGAAACTTACATTTTCCGGGTGTGTTTGAAATCTTTGGTAAAGTTCCTCGGGCGTTACTTTATGATAGTCGATATCCAATTCCTGCTTAAGGTCGTCTAAATCTCCTGGTTTCCGTTTCTTCGCGGGGGGTTTCCGGCGAGTCTAAAACGTGACATTTATTACTACACATGAAGTGGCTGACCAGGCTATAGCTTTAGTTTATAAAAGTTCGCAGTAGTATAGAACAGAGTTAAAAAAACGAGATGAATTAAAAAAAGCATGCAATGTTTAAAATGATGAAGGAGTTGCTCGCCTTATGCAATCTCTACACGATTGATAACTTTAATATAAATATGTTTAATGTACATGACAAAAGTATACTCAAGTGTAAGTTTCTTTAAATAAAGAACCAATTGAACACTGAAAAATCACTTGAATGAAGAAGAATACAATCTGAATGTATCTTCATAATTCCTATTGATTGTATGCGAACAAACGTGACGGGCGTCTGCTATACTCTAGACTCACCGCTTCTTCGTGCATCCTGCTTGTGCTCTGAACACCAACTGACTGAGACGTAGCGCGAAATTCGCTTGAGCTTAGCTCGAATTGGGTCAACAGAGGGCGGTTGCGTCACTAGTGTAAATCCCACCCCACGTCTGTCATTTTTCAGCCAATCGATGGAGGACAGTAGCTGCGCAGTGGCTGTCGTATTACGCTAATGCATTATGGTACTCGTGTAGAGACAGCAACCGGCGCAATGGTGTAAACGAAAAGATGAAAGTAAAAAACCTTGTACTGTCCATCGGCAGTTCTATTATCGTCCTTAACGGGCGCGACGGTGGCGACGCGGTATGAGTCGGAGCGGCCATGCTGGAAACACAACTAGGGGCTAGACACATTCTACAAGGCGACCCCAACGGACCATGCAGGGTTCCGCTAAGTGAAGCGATTATGCCAGTGGTAATGTCGCGATCGCGTGACCCCTCGCCGACTTCTCATTTATATTACAACGCGGCTGCAAGCTCAATCAAGTGCGCTGACGTAATAAGGTTCATCAACGAGGTGTCCCGCGATAGCGACATTAAGAAACATATACAGCAAACATCGAAAACTCACAGCTTTTAAAGTATCCAAATTAAAATTAAGTGAATAAGTAATTTTTCGATATTTCCTTTCAATAAACGAACGAATGGTTGAAATGTTGGCAACACAAATCATAAGAAAATAGTTAAGTTCACTGGAAATTAGTAATATGTCGAACCATGTTTGATTCAGGCGGCGGGGGCATTGTCACACGGAAACAGGGACGCAACCTTGGCGAGTGCGCTGTTCTCCTGCTGGGGCTCAATTGCTCTGAACTAGTTGCCTGTGCGAAACTGACGTGCCGCGAGAACGCGGACTACTCGTGCGATGCGCACAATCTTATCACGCACTCGTTCATGAAATGTTTCTCTGTATCCGGTGTGACTATCTGTGTATTATATATGGTTTCACCGTATACGCCATAACCGACACGACTGGTTGAAGCTTCGGACGCGAATGGCGAAATATCTGGGAAAATTATCTCTCCCTCTGCAAGATGGCGTCTTTTACGGCGCAAAGGCGATACACTTGCCAAATTAAACTTGCTATAATTGTTCACTGTCCTACTCCTTCACAAGCTCCAGCATCATATGAGGGAATAGTTTTTGATTTGTAGCCTACGCTAGATGTAATAACTATGCGCATGTCGACCGCAGTAACGATTTCATTGTTCGCTCCGCGGCCGTAATGTCACCGGGTCTAAATGCGTACGCGGTGCTGTAAACAAGCCGCCAGCCGCCCTCGATAATTGACGACCGTTTCCATAGTGGGCCTCATTAAAACCGCGCCCTGAATTCCCATGAAGGTTACAGCGGACCGGATCGGCGTGGGACGCGCCAATTCGAATATTAAACGCTTTGACAAACTCTCGAGGACGGAGCGTTGCGGGCCTAGTGGGAATGGCGGCCGTTGCCAGTACAAATGCAAGCACCGAACAGACAAAGGAATGGAATATTCATCGAAACGGGAGGGTGCTTCACACGTAAGCAAAGGCGGCGCGTCGAGCTCGCCCGAGTTACATAAGCGGGCTCCAGCGCGCAGGCGCAGAGCGGCCCAACCCCCGTTCGCTACCCTCGACATAAATAGCTAAGCGGCAAGGTTGCCACCCCGGGGCCCCGGCGACCGCATTCTATAATCTCTCCAAAGGTTAAACCGGAATACCAGATGGAAAAACGAAACCGGCCCGCTGAGAATGACTTCTCGTTATAAGCAACCACATCTGGATTATTAGGGGATTGCTAAAGGACGTAATAACGGATTTTTCCGAGACGGAACTGTTTCTTTTTATTTTAACCCGAACCGAACTAATATTTTAAGATGTCACGTCAATTTAAATTATTAAATACCGAGCATACATATATACGTCAGAATACAGTCGCATATATCAGATCGTACTGCCAATAGAAATACGTAAACTAATTTATTGGTGACAACGATCGAAGATTCATTGGTATGATCGCCATACCGCTTTATACCGAAAACTTGCCGTTACTATCGTAGTGGTCGGTGAATGGGACAATTAATTTCGGCCGACGAAAGTACGTCATACACGAGAGCCGTGCCAATTTACGAAGCCAAATCCTCACGTGCGTTTGTTGTTGCCCGATTGGATCTAGTATCTCTTTAACATCAATCGTTATATTTGCGAATCCAAAAATATAGATTGAACATTTAAATGGCTTTAGCGTAAGAACCGAGGCGTTTTATCGTGATGCAATGGAGCCATTATTTCGGATAAATTGCCCATCGTAAAGTTGTACGCCGTCGCCCACGCCTTTATTTTTTTTTCTAGAATCTTGAAAACGAAAAATTTATAGACCAATCTCATTGAGTGATATTGAACTGACCGATAAGTGGCGGTCGTTTCTTTTTCGTTTGCTTATAAATTTATAATTCGTAAATAATTAATGTCAATTAACGGCGATAGTGATTTAATAACAAAATGTAATGAATACAAAACAGATAAGTTTGACATTACATCAATTAATTAAGGACAATGCAGAAAAGAAGCAAACATCGACTATTATCGACCTAATATAAAAAACAACTAAATATTAAAACAACTAAGTAAAACAATAATACCTATAAAACTAAAAATATCTGTGTACAAAAGTTAAGATGTGACTTCACGAACAGAAAGACAAAATCAGCAAAAGGAAGAATTTGAAAATTTTTGATTAGAAATTCGCTTTGCTGCCATATATATTTCGGAAAATGTCTCAAATGCTTTTGTAAGCTCAATACGTGTTACATAATGATCGTAAAAATTTAGAAATGAAAAAAAGTAATAAATCTCAAACATATAATGTCGTCCTCATATAGAAAGTGTCGCACTTGCAGCGTATGAAAAGAGGATTTACAAGATAAAATATAGAAAATTACACGTGCACCTTAAGGACAATCGAAATTCGGTGATTACCGTTAGGTACACCAAGGACCACGTCTAGCAGCCTAATTGGTGCGTGCGTGCTATCGTCATAGAGGATAAAGGAAATACTCCAATAGAGCGACGGCACTCTATGCGATTTAAATGACATAATGACGAGGCAATTTTCTAATAAACCTTCGGCGCTCTTATAGTTCTCGGGCCCGAGGCACGGCCAACACTCGCCACAACCTGTTAATCCACTTCCTTCAGGACACCTTGCGAGGAGTATTCTTTTCAAGACCCCTCCACCTAATGTGACCTATTTCCATCTCAACTAAGCATTGTCCGATCTACGCGAAATGTTTCATTGGAAATTTTACAATGTCCATCTTCATTTCAATAAAATCGACTATTTAAAGAAATATCAATTGGAAGTAAAATTTATAATAAATCTATATAACCACACAATAGTTTAAGGAAATTGATAGAAATATGTTTAATGATATCAGTCAGTGTTTAAATTTCAAGTGTATTTAACTCCCTTAACGTTAAATAAAATTTATAATACCGTAAAAGAATGTTTAAAACGTTCATTTAGGACCAATTGAATATTTGGAAGTCCCTTGAATAGAGATGGTGAAGTGCGAGAAAACCAAAGTACGAAGTGTCCCTTTCGCCGCATAGATCAATACGGACAGTTACGCAACTAGGTCGGCGCCGGCTCCGAAAGCCTGTCTTCCGATATAACCGAAATTCCACAAGAATAAAACCTAAAACGATTGCAAGCCAGAACTAAAACAGCTTAACGTAGAACTGAGAACATGGAAACACATTGAGAAAGATGAAAGAAAACGATTCGTGCTAATGTGATTGCTAGGGAATGAAGAACAAAGGAATACGTGCAAATGGTTGTCTAAGGGAGGACCACGATGATCATGCTTCGGAATAACAAGCACTAGGAGAAGCTATCGCCGCTGCCTGCTCTAAGAGCGGAGGCCTGATTCCTCAACACTCGATGAAAGCATGCACTCACGTCACGACGACATTGGACAGACGTAATATACTACTAGGACCAACACAAGAACTACTGTAAGCGACACGAGCACTCACCTCGCCCATTTTCGTAAGTCTTTATGGATTAGGCGGACAGAAAGAGCAAGCCGCCTCTCGGACTCGTGTGCGTTCTTCAGCGGCGCGGGGTGGACTGTCGCTAGTTCTGCAACAACGGGGGACCTTTACCGCTTCCTCGTTCCAACGGAAAAACTCAAAAGGTGTGCGCTTTCACGTTCGCCTCGTCGCACGGCACTGGGGGCTATGTCGTCATGGTGCGGAACTGGAGCCCGGTATGAGTGCACGGGCGGCGGGGGCGCGTAGGGCGCGACGTTCGGCGGCCTGCTTCGGGCGGCGACTGACGGTGGGGCCGGCGCGCAGCGAGCCGACACTTCGCTGACGTCACACTGCGTCACGACGCCAGCGCCGCCACCGGGTGCGCGCGCACCCGGCCATCGCGCGCCCTCTGCCGCACCCGCCCTGCCCGCAACCTTCCACAATTGCCACGATGACAATCCCCGACTATCGACTAAGTCACCATTCCATCCAGTGCCATCTTCTAAAGGATTTATGGAACATCGAAATCTCCTTTTTCAGATGAAAAACTCATTCGTCTCCCTAAAGTAATGTCTTTTACTGTAAATACCTAAGGCTAATACGCAGAAATTATAAAACCTAGGGGTTGTACACAAATTTATGAGAGATTTGCCCTTAGGCGGGCGAAAACCATCTGGGCGGCGCACCCATACCGCAAGGAATGTTTAATGAAATACGTTTCTATTTTGTTTCTTCTATACGAGTTTTTAGTGAATTAACATCACATTATCGTAAAACTTTCCTGAATAGGTATAACATGGAACAGTTGCCATGTTGTCTATCGATTTACCATTATGATAAGGTTTGAGTCTGAGATGCACGTAACACGATTTTATGGTGAGTGAATACATTTTGCTCCGGTTTTATTCGCATTCGCATTATGATAATGTCCTAACCGCCGCACATAAATAAAATGTATACGTAAATGCTTTAGCTTTCGAAGGCCCTGTAATGTAGCAATGTTTTTCGGCGAAATAAATACGCAAGTCTCGCATTGCGGAATTTATTACACTGCAAGGAGCTGCGGAAAACACTTCTGGCAATAGATTACTTGCGAATTTACTGTAATAAAAATATATTATGCAATCACTTTGTACCTTAGACGTGGGAAATCAGGGCGTACAATTCTAATATTACTTAATCTTAGTTAATATATCGGAATACATATCTTAAATGTGACCTAAAAAGTCATAACGAATGATAGATACTAAACACATTTATTGAAGCATGAAAGCTTTACTGCGCTGTAAAATCTATTTTTAACAAGATCGATAAAGTCAATTTGCCCCGATGTGTGTACTTCATTAGAGAATGTTCGCTAGTAGTGATTTAATTAAGTACGGAAAACAAAACAAGTAGCAAAAGCAATTACCTTAACAACCAACTCAATTACCAAGTACAAAGGAATTATCGAGATCGATTTCCTGCTGGAACTGCTTTCAACGGATTGTATTAAACCAAGCAATTGTCTAATTTGAAATTAGAGGTAGAACATTCTGGAATGGTTTTCCCAGTTTGATGCAATGCAGGGTGTGGTACCCCATTCCGACTGTGAGGAGACCTAAGTACCCCCACACTGTTCAAGTACATATCGATCAGGGAAAACCGAAGTAGGTACCATTCCATTGTCATGTAGTCTGAAGCGAGCAAATCGCTATCGATACAAATGGTAGCATGTTATTGAATTAAATAAAGGGTCAATAAGTGGTCTTATTCATAATAAAACGCTTATCGAAGGTATAACTAGCCTTTTAAGCGTCAAACGTTCGATTAATTCATAAGCGTTTGTACCTCCGATAACTAAAATCTTTATGTTATCGTGAATTGAAATAAAAGAATGCTTTCATGAGTTTTTATCTATGGATAGCTATAAATTAAAATACAATAGTATCTTGACTTGTGTCAAACATATTGATCGTGATTCGTGTCAACTTTCCTGCTATTATTTACTTATAAATCTTTGTACAAGGATGTACGAGCCGTGATAGCTCAGTGTCCGGGCGCTCGCCTTTAATTCAATATTCTCGATCCCCGGTGCCGACACCAATGAAATTGTTAATTTCTGCTAAAACATCGTGAGGAAAGCATAGAAATAATAACAAAAAAAATATTTATTTTTTATGTTCCGCCAAAAAGACTATGCCCTCTCTATAGAGGAGGCCTTTGCCCAGCAGTGGGACATGTATAGGCTGTTACTTTTACTTTGTACAAGTCTTTGGCCTTAACAAAATAAATAAATTATTGTAATGTTATAATTAACATTAATGCTAAAAAGAAGATTTTTTTTTATGTTAAAAGTTGCCAAGCGAGCAGACGGTTCACCTGATGTTAAGTAAATACCACCACCCATAGACATCTGCTACAATCGAGGGTACCAGATACGTTGACAACCTTTTGAAAATTGTGCTCCGGCCACCTCACTCACCAGACGAAACGCGAAAGTATTATACTTCGTGATCGTGGTACTTACCCAGACGAGCCTGCCCATTGTGCAACAGCCGAGGCTGCTGCGTAGCCCTACCACCATTAATTAGATAAAGTTGGTGTTACAATTTTGTTATATTCGCAAGTCTAGAACTTCGCACTGTAATTTATATGCATGCATGCTTTCGAAGATTATGTTGAAATAATGATATGGCGAAGGATAGGGTTCGTGTTATCTAAAATGAAAGAAAAAAACACCGACACGATCTACAAAGCAACGAAGGTGGCGGCGTGGAATGATTTTAAAGAAGTCACTACAAATGTCAGTAATTAGCTGACCAAAATCGGCCATGTTTTTCACTGATATACGTTTATAGAAGCTTTATAGTAGGGTCCTAGCTTGTTTATATCAAAGACACTTTATAGGAGGGTTATAGAACGATTATGAATAAGACTTTTTGACAATCTGTTTTTAGCGAGCTCTTAAATCTCCGATAACTTATTATGAATAACACCGTTAGAAAGTAAAACATAAATTCATTGAGATAATGATAATATATAAAGACATATATCATTATCAAAAACAGAAAAACTATTTCTATGTTTATTACACCAAATACACAAAACTTCGTGTGGAACAATTAACGCGATCTTAATTCTTACTTAAAATTTACCTTTCGCTGACGCGAAATATTTTATTAACAGTATTCACATGGGCAACAAAGTCAAAACAAGAAGGGGAGGAAGTGATACTTTTAGAAATTCGAATGCAGGTATTAAAGTCTTTAATATTTACTCGGCCAGTGCTTATGTGTGCCATAGCCTGATGGTAAGGGACGATGGCTTAAATGTAAAAGTACTGGGCCGCTGAGCTAAGCTCGTGAGTCGTTTCGCTTGCAATTTTCTGCGACCACGCCCTCGTGCTAGCCTGCAATAAAACTGGAAGGTGCACACTTTTCAATTTTCAGCGTCCGACGCGATAGTGCCAACCTATATTTCCTATTTGGCCCACGCCCTGTTGGCGGCGCGGAGTGCTCGTCGCTAGTATCAGTTGATGTACCGCCAGTGCTTATCTCATGGTCTATGTAGCGGGAAATTTGTGTGGATCTTAGACCCTAAATGTTGTGATATGTTACATACATACATACATACCCTCGAAAAACATAACCCTCCTTCTGGCGCAGTCAGGTAAAAGAAAAGCAGTTAAGTTTTTTTAGGTAAGTGCCAATTCAATAAAGTGGGCCCGGGCTACCCTACTATCCATACGAAACGCAGAAGTATAACACTTCCACTTCACGCCGGTCTTCTGTGAGGTCGTGGTACTTCCCCGGACTGACCAAACCATTCGTGCAACAGCGAAGACTGTCGCGTGGCCCTACCACAGTTAGTTTTACCACAGATAAAATTTGTATATATATATATATATATATATATATATATATAGTTATATATAAATGCACTCGTTATATGACAGTTAAATGATTTATTGCGAATCACATTCTCATTTATTTCGATTTATGCAGAGTCTAGTCCGGGTGGAACGTACCAATCAATACATCAGTGCAATATGTCAGCGAACAGAAAAGTATAGAGTACGCATGCACCGAGGCCAGGGTGTATCCCGGGCGCATAGGTCAGTTACGGGTCGGGCGACGGGTCGCGTCGAACTTACCCTACTTAACGGCGTATCTACAGTGAATTCGAAGTGATTTCCATTCGTAACAGCAAAAAGGGAATGACGAATTGAACTCGAATTTATATTTCTTTGGAATAATGATTTATCGAAATGATTGAAAATTTCAACCATTATTAAAAAAAAAGAATGGAAGAAGGAGGAAGTACTGATTTTTCCGAACAACAAATTATAAAACCAAACTTGACTATGGGTCCGAATAAGAAATTAATACATTAGTGTATTTATATGATCAATTTTATTTTTAGTGCCAGGTTATGCAATTTCAAAATATAATAAAAAATGCATTTATTGCTAGTCACAATTATTTCTTTTTTGTTCCCTTATCTTTTGAGCAAAGCTGTAGCTGAAACAGCTACTGTGCAACTAGCAAATAATCTGCCTGACCTAGTGGGGCCTAAAGAGCATAACACGAGTGCCATCAGGGGACCTGACCTGAAAACTACGAGGCTCCATCCACAACCCTCAAGTGTTTATTAGTCCGTGCTTAAGCGCCAAACGGACAGAAAAACGTAAAAATAATGTATGACGTAACATCTACTGCGCAAATACGCGAACCGGTATTGTTTTGTGAAACGAAATAACAGTTATCTTTTTATGTTCGCAGTAGTTAGCTTAACTTTATTCCTAACTTGTTCGTGTTGCTTCCAATTAACCTAAAAATTACGAGCATCGTCGAAATAAAGCGCCACTCAAATTTTCGCCATCCCGTCAGTCACGAGGAGGAGTGACCACGAAAGTTTCAGATGGAAAATCCCCCACCACCCAATAGGTGAGGTGCGTACGTGCAATACGGCAAAGAGTACGGCTGAGATTCAGCACGAAGATAACATGGAGAGGCTGTAGTGGTGTATTATGTAAGGCATTAGTATCGCAGACGGTGCGACGAGCTTTTCCTTAGTAAAGGAGCTGATATGAAAATTCGCCGCGATGGTGGGTAGTGTCGGGGCGGAGAGGGGGTGCTGTGAGGGCGGGGGCGGAGGAGGGGATCACGGAGGCTCTATTTGGGTCACCCCGGGCGTCATTCCCCACGATCGATAGCGGAGTCGGCGCGCGCCGGTCCACCCTCCTGCTCGCGTATCCACGCCGCCTGTTACCTAACGCGTCTAGCGCACTGCCCCGTCACCATTAATTATTTTACTACCGGGTACATAAAGAAATTCCCCAAGCGCTGGACACTGATCCACTATCATCCGGATGCTTCGTCTGCATGCGATTTTCGAAATAGAACCGGAGCAGACGGCTTGGGACGATGCCCACTCGCCACCGATTACCTAATGGGAGCGATTGTGTAATATACAATCAAAAGAGCAAGTTTCGATCTACTTTATGAGATAAAATATATAACAGCTTCCCTAGAGAATACTTATGTTAAAAGCAGAATGTTTCGATCCAACTTGCGCTTAGGAAAGTAATACGAACTAATTACGGAGTGGCCCTCGCAATGGAACGACCGCCCATCTCGCAACCGAGGGTAATAAATCAAGGCGGAATCCCAAACTGGCGGTATTTAAAAGTGCGAGAGCCCATAATGAGTAGTACCGTGCCGAGAGCTCTGAAGTGGGAAAATAAATATCACGAGCCGACTGGGCGAGAATGCTAAACAGCCCGCCTTCGTTGCCGACGAAATTGGGTCCGACACCAGAATAGGTGATTATGCCACGTAACTAGGTGCCTGCTCCAATTTGTCGCATCGTACAGGTAGCCGCCAACTAAAAGTTGTGAACATACAAAACACATATATAATATAATCTATAGAGCTTCACCTGAGATGAAGTGCAAACATAAAATATATGATTGACCTTGACAAGAACAATGGTAAGGTTTTTATACCTTAAAACGACAGTAGTACGCAGTGTGGTAGACATTCCGTCGTCTCATTAGGATAATACTCTGAACGTCCCTAGATACGTTTATGTTTTGTGAGAAAGGAAATTGTTAGAGATCTCTCCAGGCAAAATCCGTACGTTTATTTGCATTTAAAGTGAATACAGCTTGACCAACTTTTTTCATAGAGCGCCATCCCAAGGGAAAACTTTACCGTGAGGAAAGTTATTGAATATTTTATTCGGGTATCTCCTTTTTGTCTTTTGACGGAAATTTTATTCAGATTATGTTTCCCGAAATATTTTCTCTTCTACAGTTTATATTTTTATATTTAAATAACTTTATACCGTGAGGATTAAACATGAGTATATTTACACTACACACTGCACTATCTCTGTTCATATGATACTCATAGTAACACTACAACGCGGGTTTTCTAATTAAAAAGAGCAACAGAGACAGTAGGTTTAGAAGGAACGAAACCCGAAATCTGAGATTGAAGTTGAAACTTTCTAGTATTCCAAGGTAATACTCTTTTCTCCTACTCCGCAATGAGACCTTACTTATATTGTTATATATCTCACTTATATTGTTAGCATAGCAGTTTATAGGCACAGTAAATCATATATTGTTAGGTATAAAACCTAGACCGCAATCCACGTAGGTGCAGCGTTACACTCTAAAGCAGAAATAGCATGTGGCGCGCTGAAATAGAAGCTAAGCGTATAAGGTGACGTGAGACGCGCACTTCTCGTTGCCAAAACTTGCCTATAAAACTCCTTAACACATTGCAAAACTATACAAGGGTATGTGCCGCATAGCATAATATTGTTAAATTATTGTAGTCTTCGTCCGAACGTTGAAATCATTTACGCACATAATTGTATACCAGTGCCGGATTAAGCAAGCGTAGCAATAACTTTCAAACAGCCCGTGATCTGCAATGGTTTCTTATATTTAAAGTGGTAAAAACAATTCAATACTCTTTCTTACTTAATAAGTTTAACTTGGTTTAGGGTTTAAATATGCGGGGCCTCCTTTCGAGCGGGACCCGTAGCAATTGCTACTTTTGCTATGTGGTTAATCCGGCACTGACGCCACGAAACATTCGTTACAATGTTTATCTATCGTCAAAAATCTTGTGATGAGCTATGGCCAATTTATCTTTACAACATAACAAATAATGTGGCAGGAAACATCACATGCGTGGAACTTCCTAATGTTGCCCACGTCATAAGGCTAGGCGAAAGTTATGTTAATGTTTGAAACACTAATTCAGGTTACATGATTAATATTAGAGTATTAAATATCTCCATCTTGGTCTTCCTCGGATATCATAAATGACGACACCCCATTTCAGCGGGAGTGGGCTTATGTTTCTTATTTCACAAATTGTATTTCAAGGAAAGTCTTTCTCCATTAAGGGTCTTATTGCTATATATATTTTTCATGTGTTTGTTTTCTTCGCTTGGTTTTACATGTCCTACTTAATACATAAGGGTCGCAGAAAGAATATAGTATTATAGATAATATTTTTGATATTCTTTTGAGATTCACTCACTCGTACTACTAGAATTATTGCCTTAACGAACTCGATGGTATGTAAATAATTTAAGCGGACTATCACCCGGATTCTGAAAAACTGATCAGAGTATTGAATGATCATCTTAATGATCAGAATTATCAATTTAAATTCTAAGAATTTAACCATCCTTTTGGCAACTAAAATGACATTTGACAGCTGATTAGTAGTAGGATCTACGATGATTAGTCTCTCAGAAACCGGGCGTATGTCTACGGTATTAAACTAAAGAGATATGAGCGCTGCTATGTCTATATAACACAGAATACTTTGGGAAAAGTTCGAACAGTTTCATTTTTAGCTGAATGTGTATTTTAACCAGCGTATAGGTAATGAAAAGTCGAAATTTTAACAAAAACCTTTTCACTATTTGGAACAGAAAAAACATTTGAATGAAAATTTGGTCCACTACAGAAGCTATGTAGCTATGTTACTTTTACTATTGGATGCTTTTTATGTAAAAAGCATCCAATAGTAAAAGTAACATATAATGTTGTAATTCGTATTTTCTATTTTTTAAGTTTGAATTCATGTACCGTTCGGATTTTGCACAATGCATTAACGTATGTTTATGTAATCATGTAATTAGATGTGAATCACAATAATATTTTTTATAAATGAATACAGATAAAATAATATTTTATGAAAGAATACGACAAAAACCATTTTATTAAATTCCGATTGCGTTAAATAAAAACTTCACTTATGGAATTATCAAAGAGTACTTTCATAAAGAATAAAAAAACGAAGAAGGAGATATAGAATATTAAAAACATAAATATTTGATGACAGGAAAAATATGCTTCGTTTTATAGGTTACGTCAAAAAGAAACATATTTTCCTATAGATATATTTACTCTGATAATAACAAGGTTCGAGGGTGAAATTTCACTCCATAAATATTATATAACATCAGCCGGCGTCTCCAATAGGTCAAAGTTCAGCGACGCTTCCGAATTCAGCAATATACGTAAATCAAACGTGAAAAATGTCGATAAAGTAAATGTTGATCCGGGATTGAGTTCTCTCTTTATTCGTTTAAATCATTCTTGCTGTCTATCGATTTAGTATAATGAAATAGAATATTCCTCTTCATAATACTATATATATTCCTACGAAATAGCAATGTAAAATGAAACTAGTTTGAACTAAAAAATCAAATTACAATTTCCCTGTAACATCTGTTCTATTTTAAGCTTTTCAATTTTTTTCCTAAGATTCCATTTTGCCAGTTATCATACCCGTCTGGTCACCATATTTTCATTATGTTCTACAAATGTCCAACCATTAATAAGTTAACAGTAACGTAAATGTTCTACAAATGTCCTAAGTAAATATCCTATAATATTATTTGTTCACGAAGAGAAACTCAAGATCCATTCACTTCCCTGTTGACACAACAGACCTTGTAATATCTTATGATGAAGCTAAATATGTTTATTATACATATTTAGCATAGTATATATATATATATATATACTGTTCGAAGGGAAGTCACGCAAAAACAAAAACGGATATTTGCATTATTACATAGCAACAGATGGATCTACCCCTTAGAATAAAAGATAGAAGCTTCTGTATTTCATGTCTCCAGAAATAGATTGTTTTCAAAAAGCAAGTTATGATACAATACAATACGTTACAAAATACTATATAGATCACACTAAAAATTTCTGAACTAGAACTGGTCACTTACATAAAAAAAATATTTAAAATGTTATTACATTTGAAAATGGGACTCTTTGGCTGTAGAATGCAGTTTGTTTCAATCGAGTGATACCAGAGGTTCCAAAAGGCCCTGAAAAAAGATTCCGGGATGATAGTGAGGAAATTTTTGAAGCAGACGATGGCTTTATCACTGTAAGAAAGGAAAAAAGGAGACGAGATAAACAATGGTTGACTCATAGTATAATAAATAAAGAACAAAATATACAGCGAGTTAACCTAGTTAGCATAACGGGAAAGGAAAGTTTACCCGAACAATTTGGTATGGCCAAATTATTAATTTCAGAAGATATTATTAATGTAAAGAAGGTACAATTTAAAAACGCATATAAAGCTATAATAGAATTTGAAGACAGGGAGAATGCCGTCAAATTAATTAATTGCTTAAAACTTAAAGAATTAGGATACAGGTGCCAGTTTGTTGATGAAGTCAGTTTGTCATATGGAGTAATAAAACAAGTAGATTTAAATACTGAGATGGATGAAATACATAATAATTTAGTATGCGATAGCGAGATAATCTCTGTAAGGAGATTAAAAAGACTAAATAATTTAAGAGAATGGGTTGACAGTGAAACTGTTCGTATTTGTTTTAAAAGTTCGGTTCTACCACCGTATGTACTTATATATGGGTGTCGGTTTAAAGTAGAACCATATACGTTTCCTGTAACACAGTGTTCTGGGTGTTGGCGATTTGGGCATTTGGTTAAAGCATGTCCAACAAAGGTGATACGGTGCCCAAAATGTGGAGACAACCATATAAATTGCGAGGCAAATAATTTTAAGTGTATCAATTGCAAAGGATCTCACATGGCATTGGATAAAGCATGAAACTCATGTCGAAATGAATCTGAGGTGAAATGTAACACTACAATGTTTAAAAAAGCCTCAGCCTCAGATATATATTGACTCTACTGCAGTTCATGGGAGGGAAAATGAGGACAAAGGAGAAAGAAGCACAGAGGAATCCGTGCAGTCTACAATTTTGGGACAAAAAAGGAAAAAGAAGTCCAAAAAAAAAAGCGATCACTTGCAAAATAATAATTATACCAGTCACATTGAAAATGAACAGGTACAACAAGAAGACATACAGACTCAAAGTAATAGAAATAAAATATCAGATAGCAAGATTAACTTTGATAAATTATTACAATAATTAAATGAATGAAAATATGTTATTAGAATGTAGTTTAGAAGTTAAAATGAAGCTCATTTGTACTTACGTTTTTGAGGAATTTATTTCTTATGTTGTGTAATTATTTCAGACAGGCGATATATTTACTAAAGTTTTTTCAATATTAAAAGATGGATAGTTCCATAAAAGACA